GTTGCGGACTGCAGTGTTTGATGGAGTTAAGCCGAATCGCACTGATCAACATTGCTTGAGTCGGTAGATCGCTAGATGCTTCTCCTCAAAAGGGCGGTATGAAATTTAGATGGATGACATGCAAGTATGTACTGGTCGATGTGTGTAGGGTAGATTTCAAGGGAATTATTAAATTCATAAGCGGCATAGTAAATTAAAACTATAACAACTGTTTCGCTGAAATGTGATTCAACATTGCTGTAGGTGACACCCCGTTTTCCTTTTCTGTTTACAAGGTGCCACGAATACTTCTCCCATGTTCATGCCCTACCCTGTAAATATTAGGTTGAGCACAAATTATCCGCCATTTTTTTCAGGCTCATGGCGTTATCAGGTGATCGCGCTATTTGTAGCCAAGCACTATGAAGTGGTTCGAAATATGCTTGGGTTCATCATGTCAAATTTTACGTAAATGCTTCTCAAGAAGTTGCAGTTGAATTTGTGGTCCACCGAAGACACTTGAACGCTACAGTATGTAGGGGCTTTTGTTCAGCGGTCAGACCCCTATGCCACGTAGCCTTGTTGGATAGAGATCGTTTGATGAGAGCGAACTCAAGGATGAGAATTGGGATTGCTTCAAAATTAGTTGTAAGATGGGTTGCATACAATTTGTAAATATCAAACACTCTACGTAACGAATCCAAATCTTGCTTTTTGCTTATTTTAATAACAGTCTCCTAAGTTTTCGGCCTGGCCGATAATCCTAAAAGAAAGTCGACTTCAAATTGTGGAGCAAGTGGACCTCATTGAGAACCACTTGTGAAGCGGAAAATCTCTTGAAAATTTCTAGCCGCAGAAAAATTTAATTAACAGAATTCCTTAGTGCTCTTGGGATCCGTAGACATATTGCAGCACAGAGTTTCATGTGATGAGTTGATTTGAAAAAAAAATAATAAACATAGTTGGCCCAGTAACACAATAAAATAGCGATTCTTGGGGCAAGATTGCATACTGCCCATGTTAGGAAAAGGTTGTCTTGAGCCTCACAAGGCTTCTAAGAGGAACACAAATTTCCTGAGCCATAAACTAAGCCATAACTAACCAGCCGACTTTAAACACCGTGTTTTGAAGAAATGTATGAGAATCATTGGAGTTTTACTTCGTACCTCCCAAGCGGCATTGCGCTGTAAACATCGAGGGTTAGTCCCGCCTTTTTGATAATCAGGCGCCCAGAACATTACTAGCAGTAAACGCGATGTGCGTCTGGGCGCTGATCCTTGTTGCCCAATTGCTATTGATTACGGTAAGAAATCCATTCTCACATTTATCTCATTATGTTAATGTATATTATTTATTACTTAAAATTTTTGACTTATGCTCCTACATTTTTACTACAGCTTCAAACAATCGAACTGCTTGTTTATCGCGCAAGTCGACAAAGCATTCAGGACCAAATAATGGTTCTCTTCAATGGCCACCAATTTGCCGTTTTCAGGCTAGTTCCTTGGATAGGGTCGAAACGCTAACGATATCGGTGAAGACGTCGAAGAAATTCCATAAAACGCGTGTGACCGACATACTGGACACCTGGTATCAAGATGCTGGCCAAGAGGTTATTTATAATCGACATTGATTATTTACTTACTCTCTAGGCAGCTTGGGCCGGTCAAGACGATCTCACCAGAGAGACCATCCAAGATGGGAAAAACTCTTAACAAGTTGTCAATTAATCGTTTCCCAAATGTTCCCTCTCGTAATCTAAAGCATTTTTTGCCTGAACTCTTTCCCAATCAAGCCTGTACCGATCTCGACAGACTACTACACAGATGTTTGGAAATGGATTGTGTGCAGATACTGGAGTTTACCGAAAGCTTAGAGCTAGCGAAGTTTTCATACAGAGCCTAAATGTGAAGGAAGTATTGAGAAGACAGTTTCATAGAAAACGTTACTACCGCTTGGTGTTCCGCTAGTTTTTTGCACTATCCAAACGCTTGGAATGCACAGCTCACTATATTTGGCATATCTCGTGCTGCGATGCATGTAAATCCGGTGAAGATATCCGCCATTATGGGCTGTAGGCCACATAAGGTGCACTGTAGACTGAAGTGATGAAATGCACTCTCTGGAAAATTTCTTTCTTGACCTAAAGCCTAAGCAGCGTTTCGCCTGAAAAACTGATCTTTAGAATTGTGCTTCTTACACATGTTTCTAAATAAGGCTTTTCAAAAATGCCTCGCACAGTTGCTAGCTATTCTTGGTATCAATTTAAATACAGTGCGTACCAAAAGTATGTGGACACCCTGGAATCGATTCTCAGGGGTCAGCTAAAGGCTTTTATGTCATGAAACCTCCACCATTCAACTCCTAGTGGTCGATAACCTACAATGATATTTTCGGCAAAAGATTTCGTTCTAACTTAGCGAACTATTTTTCATGGAAAGTTTTTTCTTTGTATCAAAATTATGTGGACACTTTTTGAAAAACGGCAATATCTTCAGAATCTGAAATCGGTAGGCCTACCAAAGTTTCTAGTAAGTTGAGCCATTCTGTTTGGCATGCTATGAATGGGGTCTGGATACATGTCTTGCAGATCTGTTCCCAACTAGCAAATTTCACCGACGTGTTAGGTCACTTGTGATATTACTCTTTTGTTCAATGACGTAGAGACCGCGAACCACGATACCTCTACGTTTTCAATAAGGATGAAGTCTGAGGAATACGCTAGCCGACTTGCCAATCAAAGCCGTTGCGTTTAGCATTTTTCCAAATGGAATGGTGTCAGGGACCTCCCCTGCAAAACAAGTGATTTGCAACCATGACTTTTCGAAAAAGGTTGTAGCCGGGACTCAAGCACCTCATTATAATCCTAGTCGTCTACCTGACATGTTGGCAAGCCAAACTTCAATGTCCCCCTCCTTTTGGAACCACCCCAGACCTTTGATGAACATCTTCCGAATTGTCTCTTCGAGCACATCTGCGGGTCCGACCAAAGTCTCTCCAAAAACCTCAAGACCCACCCGAATAGTAAGGAATAAGCTTCTTTCTGCCAGTCGAGTTGGTCTATGAGAGAAATTTCCACAGAAAGTCTTTTATACTAATTTTACCATTTCCACGAAAGCACTGTCTGTGTGGGTTCAAAGTATCATGTTGTGATCCTTTTTTGAGTGGGAATTCCAACCTTGCCAACCTGAACCCGCATTCATATACAAAGCCTTCTTCATCTTCTTTCGTGTCGTGTGCTCAATTGATTGAATGAGACACCGATTGGTCTTTTTTAAGATCGGGAAGATCATTTATGCGTAAAGTTGAGTAGTACGAAAAGAAAAATTTGAGAAAATTAAGGCTATTCTTCTGCTGTTTTGAACAAGTAGCGATTGAGAACAACCCTCAGTCAAGGTCGAGAGCTTAGCATCAGGATTTCGGATTTCTCTCCAAACCTACGAGGACGCATGACTGGTTGACGTGCTATTTCGCAATAGGAAGGTTCAGAAGCATGGGGATCCCATTTCTGTGCTCGGTCTTCTTCAGAAAAACGCTTGCCGTGAAGAGGAATGATGCCAGAATAAGTAACGAAAGGAGAAGTAAAAATAGGTTAGGAAATCGATGCAAAAACTTCATCTGCCTCAGGGTGTCCACATAATTTTGATACAAAGAAAAAACTTTCCATGAAAAATAGTTCGCTAAGTTAGAACGAAATCTTTTGCCGAAAATGTCATTGTAGGTTATCGACCACTAGGAGTTGAATGGTGAAGGTTTCATAACACAAAAAAAAGCCTTTAGCTGACTCCTGAGAATCGATTCTAGGGTGTCCACATACTTTTGGTACGCACTGTAGTAGTGGTGGCAATGCTCCTTACAGCTCTTTTCAAGCCTTTGCATAGTATGAACTCATGACCATCCTGTGAGGAGTCTTACGTTGTCCTTTCATTTTTTCTTTTGGCGGTGTGCACTATCATCAAAGATTGTTTGCCTTTCTCAGATGGACGCACTTGATATGAATATATTCCCACTTGCATTCAATTTGCCTTACATTGCTGTGCAAACATTGGGAATTACTTCGAGTTTCTTGAACATGTTGGTACTCTTATTGTATTGGGTCGGTTGGAAAGTTTCCGAGACGAATATTTTGTAGATATTTCGGATAGGAGTGCACCACCCCTCGTTTACCACTCGCCACCATTGCTTGAGGCTTGTCGATTCTTTCTTCCCGAAGGATCGCCAGTGGGCCAACGCTGGAGGTGGATAAGGAGCCAGTTACCAATGGCCGGCGCTAGGATTTAGGGTTTTTTTTTGACCGGCCAACAGTTAACCCCAATCGCAGTGTGGAATGGTGGCAGCATTTCCTTCGAGCAGGACCACACATGGCAAAGCAGTCCCGGGGGTACGGTCGGTTAGTGTTTGATCAGGCCATTGCAGATGCAACGTAACCTCGACCCTCAGCGCTCTGCCCAACAAAACAAATCTGACGAGCATGAAGTCAGGGGGGATGGGCATTTGACGAACTGTCTAAGTCTCGAACCCATTTTCTTTAGCGGAGAAAGCTTTCGACAAGCTGCGGTGAGAGTTAGGCGAGTGCGGCACAACTTCTGTTTATTGAAATATTTACCAAAAATAGCGGTGGCGCACTTTCAGGTCCCTGATATTCATGCATTACTCAAGACTCTAGTTGTTTTGTGAAGCAGATACGTGATGAAAGCAAAAAGGTGTGAAAATATCTGGAAGAGTTTCAGAACTGAAGAAAAGGAAGAAGAAACTTAGCTTAAAGAGAACAGTAATGCGGTAGAGAAGAAGATATGGATACAGGGTACCATACCCGCTTCAAGTGAAGTTGAGAGGAGAAATCTCGATTGTACATAACTGAGTATATCACAGCGTTTAGTAGTTGAATGAAAATCATTATTTCGAGGTCTATTTCTTTACGGATTCTGAAGACGCGAACCTGAAAGCTCGACTTGGTGATCATTTGACCGAAACACTCTGCTCTACAGGGCACGACAGGTTTGTGCGAAATGGAGCACGTTTGAAGTATACTGGCATCAGCTTCCTTTTGATCATCAACTCATCAACTTTCTTCTGTACTTCCTGCTCTTTCTTATTAGGATGGCGAGACCGCTCATTACTGAGCATGAGCTAGCTAAACTTCTTGTTCGCCTAAATTTGACCTGTTTCGTTTTTAACTCCTTTTTTAACTCCGCAGTTCGCGTTGCAAAAGTTTCAAAAAAGCGAAAGGGTTGTGGGCAAAACTCTTCGCACCAGGCGGGAATCGAACCTGCACCTTTCGGTTTCTTGGGAGCTGTACTTCCGATTAAGCATTCATTCGCAATGACAAAGATCAAAGCCAAGTTCTTCCCTTCTATAATATTTACTCTAGTTATTTCATTTTAAAAATCTTCAGATAATATTTATGGTAATGCTTCCAACTGTTGCCTACAAAAATTATTTACAGAACTTCACTATGCTGCAAAATGAACCACGAGTTGATGTTCTTTGTGAAAAAGAACGCCAGGTGAGCTGTCAGATTGCGCAAAGTGATTTTTATCTCGAACCATTCATTAATTATTCTAGAAAGCTTAGTTTTTGAAATAAATCATAAGCAGCGATGCAGAGAAGCTGACCTTACTCATCTGTCATGAGCCGTTGTCTTGCCCACTATGTCTTACTCTCATATGTACTGTTTACTTATTGTTCATGTTCACTACTTCTGATTATGGGTTGTTCGAAATTTTCCGCCGTTCTTAGTAGATCAATTTCCAAGCTTATTTCTGAGACACTTTTGAGGAATTGCTGCCATATTACATCAATCGAAAAGCGCTTTTTTAGCACTATCTAAGTGTGATGTCATTTTTATAACTGATCACTTTTCCCCTCTTTTTCGAAGTCTCGAAAGCAACATACTCAACAGTCTATTTTGCATGAACTTCTTGTTTCTCCTTAAATTTGGCCGCAAAAGTGTGGAAATAAGTCGGGGTATCAACTGGGCGTTTGATCTCTAGTCCACAAAAAATTTGCTGTACAGTCGTGATTCAAAATCTCGCAAAGATAAAGGCTTTGAATAAGATTAGTATTGCGGTCAAATCTCAGAGATTGGCAGGGATTAACCGAGGATTTGGGTCGAAACAAATCTGCATGAAACTGTGTAACAGGTCGCTTTGAATTAGGCAACCGACATGATGTTCTCGAATATAGAGTTGTGGGTAAGAAGCCCGAAGATATCAACAAAAACAAATGCCGCTGCTTCTTCCCCCTCCCACTGTTGCAGCTCTATCTCGCACAACTGTGCAGAAACTGGAATTTGCTGAGCTCTAATAAAACTGTGGTGCGAACTTTTTATATATATCGAACGCGATATTTGCTTTTGAACTTCAGGGTCAAAAACGGCGAAAACTCTTCGAACAAACCAATATAGAATTGATATTCGTTCACCTCTTTACTCATTAATCTGCCGCACCTATGCAAAAGAAGAGGGAACTGTTGTGAACATCAGCCGATCTCCAAGTCAAGATTCTGGAATTACCAATGAATCAGATGCGTAGTTAATCCCACTTGGGCTATCGAGCGTTTCCTGATTTCTGTAGTGCATAGAGTAAAGGGACTACATTTCTTTATCTGTGCGCCCGGAACCACTTTAGCTTTTAAGCTGGAAACACTTATTGATATCAGATTGGCAATGGCCTGCATTATATACAGAGCTAGCGTTTCCCAGTGGACAGGTTTTTGTCGAATAGAATTTGTTAGAATCCGATCGCCCTATGCATAAATCACTGTGCCGAGTCGCAGGTGGTTGCTGTAATCTTTCTAAGACAAATGACGCACGCTGGATGACACTCACTGTTACTCATCTGTCACGTCATCGTTTGACACGGATCCGGTAAGCGAATGTGAGTGCGCGAGTCGACCCAACGGGGGATATCCGAGCGAGTGTTCCTTGCAAAATAAGTACTCCTAAGAGGTACTCTGCAATTGAAGGCAGCGATTACGATGAAGAGGGAGCCCATCGGGGAAGTGCATGCATCACACGAATCAGTTACTCGCTGCCAGGGAAGCGAGGTGTAGCGCTTTCACGACGAAAGGTGCGCTGGGTTGCTGAGCAGAACTTCGAAAGCACTCCGCCCCAAAAGCGATCCGCCCACTAGTAAAGAGTTGCTGATTTGGACGAGCTGCGTTGCCAGCAGCGGCACAACTGAAGGACTGGAGCGTGGATTGGCATGCTGTCACCAAACGCGTTGCGATGAACTCGTTCATACGTCCGCTTTCTGAGCTGTTACCTGTTCATGAGTGAAAACCAACGGCCAAAAAAGGGGTCCCGTTTTGCGTTTTCTTGACGGATTTCTCCGCTTTTTTCGCCACTGGCGTACCATTGAGCACCACCACGTCCCTCCAAACCCTTCTTGACCCAATCGTAATCGCTGCCTGCAAAACCAACAAAGCAGTGAAGCTGGCTGCTTAAGTCGCATCCTTCCATGCTCAGCGTCAGTGAGTGTCAAACCACTACACGTAGAATTACCAAATACGCATAAACATTTCGCGTGGCTCCTTTTGTTTTCTTCGCGAGAAAAGCCACGATTCGTCTTTTTACAAGAGATTATTTCGAAATCACATATAAAAGATAGAAATCGAATAAAACACGTGCTGAAAAGTCGGCAGTATTATTCGTATCACCACAATGTTGTTGAGCTGGCGTCAGGGTGTTAGTTGGCCCAGCGCAGGAATATCCCCGTGTCTTCCTCAGCATGTGATAGGCAAAGGGAAGACACAGGAATATTGTTGGACGAGAGCAGAGCTGAATTTCGCTTCCCTGTCGGGGATGTGAGGCTCGTACTTTCCCAGGAAGGTAAAAAAAATATCGGAAGAGCATAGAACCGCGTTAAAGTGAACGTCTCGAGCATGTGGTTTTCAAGGAAACGACCCTGTATGCGCTGAAGTTTGCTTGAGCCATAACTGGTATAGTTAGTTCGCTGAAATGACATTAAACTTGGGCTAAAATCCTGTTACGTCGAACCGGTTCATTCAAAAAATTACTCATTTGTGTTAACATTTCATTGAGTATACTGGCGAAGCTGTCTACTATGGAGCAATGGGGAAATCAAACATGTCAGTCTTCATAAGACTTTATTTTCCATATTCAGCTGGTCTTGCCACTTCGATGACGACAACTATGTCAATATTGGGAGGCTCAAAACTCTTCTATTTTCAATGAATTCGACATTACCATGGTATGTCGGAAAATCGTCCACCCTTCGACCGCTCGAAATTTCATCAGCAGATGGAATGAAAGTGAGTTACTTCAATCACTGTATGTTGAGTTTGGGCAGAGCATGAGGATTTCGGCGGTGCAGAAACTAGGCCAAAGCAAGCAACAGGGTGCTGAGCTTAATTGTTTGGCCGTGGTGAGTATACTGCCCGCGCTGCGAAGCCAATATCACCGCAGCACTACAATTCTGATGTCCTGTCCCACGTTCGATATCCTTTTCGTGACCTTCTTTCGCTGCTTTGCATCCTGTACCAGGGTGAACAACAAGTTTACAAGTTTTTTTTAGTTGTTCCAAAGCAACTAGTATCACAGAACTGTATGTAATGAAAATTCAAATGGAATTTGTTTGTTGTCTTGCTAGAAGTGACCAGTCTGATGACATAGGAGGGATGCACGCCTCGTAAAAAGAATCATAAAAGGATAAAGGATAAAGCATTTGCCGTTGATCAATCCCTTTTTGGGATGCGGCACGCATTCTACTTCCATTTGTACATTCGTAGTGGCGTTTGAATGCGATGTGGCCTATACAATGACTTGCGGGGCCAGCCGATGTACAAGTCAGTGTTTTTATCCTCCCAGACAAGTCTGGTACCAATTAACCGACCCCGGAGGGATGGAAGGCTTGGTTGGCCCGGGCGACTCACGACCCAGGATTTGATCCCCGGACCGCTCGCGTGGTAAGCGTGCCACTTGTCACTACACCACTTCCGCCCAAAAAAAGAGCCATACTTGACATAAGTGCGAAATATTTATTCCTAAATAATGTAAGGGGTTTATTTATTTATTTATTATTTCCATACGGCCAGTGAATGCGCTTGGTAGTTACGCAGAGTATATTCAAGGGCGACGGACTTTTGGTGCGTCCGGGGTTGCACGCGGCGAATCGCGCGGCGGGCTGCGCGGCGATCCGGACGAGGCAAGTCTTCGCGGGCTCCTGCAGTGGAATTCAACACGTCAGAACGTGTGCAGATCGCGGATAGAATCCACAAGGTTCTGCTTTGAAAGAAACTTCCCACTCGCGGAGATCGGTGAAATGCAGCGGTGTCAGTGAGAAGATTACAGCGAAAGGAGATGAAAGAGAGAAACTTCATAGAAATGTCACTATTATCATATTATAAATATGAATAAGAAGCACTAAAAATGGAGTCATTTAGTGAGATGTTATTTATTGTCAACTCTATATCTTTGCTAATCGCGGCGCTCCTGTCCTTGGGAGAACTTTCAAAACAGGGCCAATGGAAGGTGACACTAGAACTAAGCTCATGAGAAGGGAAATACGCTCGGGAGAACAGAAATTGCTCACATCCTCCACGAGAAACTCTTCCCCTCAGGCTTAGTCCCAAACACAATAATTGGTTGAATCTCTCCGCTCATGGGATTCCCCCCCCCCCCCCTTAACAACAAGCGCCAGCAACCTAAGCGCCCTGATTGCTATAACAGCCTTTTGCTATTCCTTTTCTTCTCTTCCTGCCGCTGCCTTTGAATATCCACGCGTTGGAATGTAATTCGAATCGCAGAACCTTGTGGATTCTATCCGCGATCTGCACACGTTCTGACGTGTTGAATTCCACCGCAGAAGCCCGCGAAGACTTGCCTCGTCCGGATCGCCGCGCAGCCCGCCGCGCGATTCGCCGCGTGCAACCCGGACGCACCAAAAGTCCCGCACCCATATTCAAATAGAAATTCTATCAGACGCTAAAAGGGCAGCAGTCGTCCTCAGTTGAGTCACAACAATAATGACGGTTAACGACTGACTTAACCAACTTGTAAAGGACAAAAACGAGAGAGGGGCCAGTTCAAAAGATTCCTTGAGTATTTTTTGAAACTCTGGGTCATACACTAGGTTGATCAGTGAATTTGTGTACAGATTTGGAAGTAACAAAGAGCATTGCCATGAGCCATAAGGTTAGTGCCTCAAAGATAACCCTACTGCGAGGCCGCAGCCCTACTAGGGCGGGCGCAGAAACACCTCTTTGATCTAAATACGAACCCTAGGAGCTGGCTCGGGGGCGCTTGTGAGGATAGCTAACCATGCGATGCCATAACTTGGGCTCATTTTGAGAATGGCTAATAGGCTTTAAATGAATTCGGTAATTTTAATCAAGTTGGATCAACAGCTAGTGTATAACACAACCCTTTAGACGTTTCACCATTATATTTCATCACCACT